TGTGAGGATATTAGAAATAGTGGAAAGTATAACTGCATAGAATAGGTTAATGTCACTTTAAAAACATTAATACTTCAGACATAAACTTATTTTTTTTCTGTTTATTTTTCAAGAAAATGGAATTTCAGTTCAACTTTTCTGTAGACAAAATAGTGGAAAACAGAACAGATGCTGCTGAGAATGAAAAGCTACAGCAGGAAATAGTCCTACTGAATAATCGAGACATTTCGGAAAAGAGCAATGAGATTACCTCAGAAGAAAATAAAATAAATGAGGAGTATTTACCAGGAGCCACTGCTAATATATCAGACCACAGCACTTCAAATGCAAACCCAGACACAAGTTTGTTGAGGAAACAATCCTGTCCCAAATCTGCCAAGATGCACAATCTTCCTAAAGATGTCAGTAAAGTCCTTGAGAGCAAAATTCTTGGAACCTTACCAGGTATTCACTATGCAAATATTTCTGTGGTGGAGACTACACTCCCAGGTAACTGTGTTGGAGAAAACATAATGTCTAAAAGCATTTCTTCTCAGTCTGACCTAATTACAGGTGTCTATGAAGGAGGTCTAAAGATCTGGGAATGCACTTTTGATCTCTTGGATTATTTGTCAGAAACTGACATTGAGTTTGCCCAAAAGTTCGTTTTGGACCTTGGCTGTGGAGCTGGGCTGTTAGGAATAGTTGCATTAAAAGGAAATGCTAAAGAAGTGCACTTTCAAGATTATAACAGTTCAGTAATTGAAGAAATCACCATACCTAACATACTGGCTAATTGTTCTCTTCAAGATGATGATGGTGAAGAAGATACCCAGTCTAGGAAAAAAGACTTCACCCAAGATTTTCTGTCTAAATGCAAGCTTTTTTCTGGGGAATGGTTAGAATTTAGTAAACTTGTTTTAAATAATACTAAGCCCTTAGCAAAATATGATCTCATACTTACGTCAGAAACTATTTATAATCCTAATTACTATGAAGCTTTCCATGATACACTTTCAAGTTTATTGGCAATAAATGGCAGCATATTTTTAGCTAGCAAAGCGCATTATTTTGGCTGTGGAGGTGGGGTCCATCTTTTTACAAGTTTCATAGAGAAGAAAAATTTATTTAAATATCGAACAATTAAAGTTATTGATAAGGGGCTCAAGCGTTTCATTATTGAACTGACATTTAAGAATTCCTGTTAATATGCTGTCTGGGTCAGCATATCATTAAATATTTATTTTCTGTTATTCAGAAATGTTCTAATAAATTACTAGCACATTTGATTTACTTACACCAAAGCTTTTTTCACTTGCCTTTTTTCTCTTTTCCCCTTTTCTTTGAATTATTTTGAATTATTTGTGTAGGATATGTACCATATCAGCATATTTTCTAGCTTAAGTTTGTCTAGCAGTCCTCTCACATGAATTTCTAAGACTGCATTCTTTTATGGACTTAATTTGACTCAACAACTGTTATTTCCTCATCTAATTCATCCAAGATTGATACTACTTGTGCAACATTTTTGCCTCTAACACATCAATCACAGTTCATAGTTATCCCAATAATTCTTACTGGCATAAAGATCCATCTAGTCTAGGATCTAAGGCAGCTACTTCAAAAGAGCAAAATAGGAACAGCATTGTTCTGTACTTAAAAATCGACAAGTTTCCATTTCTAAATTTGTTGTACAGGCTATCTCTGAGAATAACATATTTATGGTGAAATGCATGCTTGATATTTTCCTGCTAACCTGATAGACATCTTAGAATGACAAACTAGTCAAACCAGCCCTTGTAGTTAGTTAATCAGAAAATTGGGTTCAATAAATCATGGCTCAATTAACCATGGATAAATTATATGTATCAGTTAAATGGTATTTATCTTTTATTTTGAATCTACTTTGTTTTCTTTATGTCCCCATGGCATACGTAGCTTCCCTCTACGTGCTACCCTCTTTTTTTCTGCGGACAGTTTTTCTGGCCTCCCTTGGTATCACCTTTGGTTTTTTTGGTTGATTCTTGGAAACTATTTGGATAAGTCCATGCAATTTTCTTGGCAACATTTTCAGAAGTGCTCTGCCATTACCTTTGTCCTAGGGCTGAGTGTGACTGGCTCTAAATCACCGTTTCAGGATTAGAACTCAGGTCTCCCTACTCCTAGTCTAGAGCCGTACCTCCCTTGGTATCACCTTTGGTTTTTTTGGTTGATTCTTGGAAACTATTTGGATAAGTCCATGCAATTTTCTTGGCAACATTTTCAGAAGTGCTCTGCCATTACCTTTGTCCTAGGGCTGAGTGTGACTGGCTCTAAATCACCGTTTCAGGATTAGAACTCAGGTCTCCCTACTCCTAGTCTAGAGCCGTAACCATGAGACCAATTGGCTCTCTTGCTTGTAGTTTTTCTCTTTACTACTAGAAACCAGC